ACATACAGTGTGTCAATAAATAGTGGTGTTGCTGTCCGCAAATATTTCTGGGGTTTGGTTGGCTTGGGTGGTTTTTCTCTGTTTCATTACTTTTACTTACTGAAAGAAGCAGACTGCTTGAGGGCACATAGGAGTTACTGATTTGGATCATGCTCGTAGTTCACCAGCTCTACTTATGATCACACCTGAGTGCATCAGAGGGAAGTAGAATATTCAGCATAGAGTATGCTTCATAACTTGTCTCCACATAAATGACCTTCTTAACCTCCTCTGTCTGTTCCCCTTCCCTCCTTCAATTTTGAAGATGTACTTCCTAACGTTGCTTTGAAATTTTCTACCTGTAAGCTGTTCCAGAGTTCTGCTCATACAGAATTGTTTGGGTCCACAAGTCCTGCTTATTCCCCTGTCTGAAGTCATTTCCTAACCCTTCAGGTTAGGTCTTGACCATCTGGGCAGACTTCAGGTGGCAGCTTATCCCCAGGGAACCACAACAGATGTAGAATGTCTGGGAGATGTCTGTGAAGGGAGGGGAAATGTCTTTAGGACAGAAACAAACCGTGCAGAAAAGCTAGGAGTAAACAGATTTGGGAATTAACCTTGCATAGCAAGGAAACCAAGTATCAAATTGGGCAGGAGGAGAGTTCTTGTGATCTTTATATTCTTGGAATATAATTCTATCTGGTGACAGTGGAATGTGTCTCAGGATGAGTGGAAATACCTTTACTGCCTATTATTCTATGGGAAATCCAACCTCTAGTGACCATGAGAGCCAGCTCATGTTTGCCACTCCTCAGTGTATTACTAGCTACCTGGGAGTCAGGTGTTCACAGCACGGCATTGACATTCCACATCACTCAAGTGAACCTAACAGGATTTCAGGGTGCTTGATCTCACCCAGAGCATTCGACAGCTAAACATAAAGGCTGTGAACTTCGTTTCCTCCATCCGTCAGGTCTCTGTTTACACAGATGTCAACAAGTCAGCAAAATGTTGAAATGTGTGCTGATGCATGAGGCACCTCCGCAGGAGGTGGGCCTGGCCACACAGTAGAGGCTGCACACTTTGGCTAGTCCGGCTCGGAGAAAAGCCACAAAAGCAATGGAATCAGGTGGTTTTGTATATTCTTGTAAATAAACAGAATTGCATCAAAATCCCACTTCCTTGAATGCCAGAAGAGTCAGTCAGTAACCCAAGGCAGTGTCCTGGCTCACGTCCCCAAACACTCTGGACAGCGAGTAACTCATCAAAGCCTGCTCTGAAAGCTTCTTCAGTCACCTCCTGCTGCACTTGTTCAGCCATGCTCGAGGTTTCTTCTGCTGAAAGTCATCTCTCCAGGCTTACTCATGCTGAGATGTCACTCCCACACGCATTTCTGACCAAAGCCATTCTCTGCAGTCCTTCACTGTTCGAGGTTCAACAGCCTTTGGCCTTTCCTCGGTTTGGGAGGGGGGGAGAAATGAATACATACATGTTTGTCAATAAACATCTGTCAAGGACTGTTTAGCTAGCTGGTCCCCAAGGGCAGCTCTGGGTCTCTTTGGTGCCTTCCCACTTCTTTTTTAGGTTTCTGGTATTTGGGATTTTCTTGTAATGCTTTTAGGAGGCCAACTAACTACTTGCCCACAAAAGGATGTGATACCACTGCCCCCTCCTTGGTTTGGTGGAAGATATGTAAGTTACTTCTGAACTGAGCCACAGGGTTGAACACTTCTAGACATAAATATTTAATTAAATTGCTTTGTAGCGCAGTTGAACTATCTGCTTTATAGCAGTTGAACTAACTGCTTTATAGCAATTGAACTAACTGCTTTACAAATACCTGACTTCTTTACCAAGTTCAGCCATAACTTTTCAGTGACTTCTGGCTGAGTTCTGACTTTTGCCAGGTCAACTGAAGCTGCATTCTTTTTCTGTAAATAAACTGTTAATATACTGCTCCAGTCTTTCATGCCAGTCTAGTGTCCTCTTTACAGCAAGTTGAAACCAGCTTTTCCTTGATAGAATATGCATGTTTCCTATTTTTTTTTAATCAATCTCATCAACTGATGAGTAAATCAGAAATTTTATCAGTTTCTGAGGGCTGTCATGGAGGCATTACTTTGGACACAGGAGAAGTATGTGCATCTGTCAGAGTTTCAGTTTGGTAGAAAGGTTGAGTAACATTGGTTGAAGCAGCATATTTGTGAAGTGGACACTCATTAGAAATCCAAAGTACTCACTGAAGGGTTAAATGAAGTGGGGCACACTCTGTGCCTCACTTTCTCCCAGCCCCCTCAGACAAACTAGTAGAGATGGATGCTATTTCGCAGACAGGTACACCTTGTGGATTAATTCCTTTAGAATTATTTCATAATAGTACTGTGGCTTGCAGTGCCTTAAATAATCCTTTTTTTTCCCTAAATATGCAAGAAACCATTTCCATCTTTGATAAAGGTGGTTTCTACTGTCTATTTTGGTGTTACTAAAACAAGCTATTACCATTTAAATGGCCTTAAATGAGGCAGTTTGTATAGCAACAGAAGAGCAACAAAACCAAACCAATGTGTCTCTAATACATAAGCCAAACACATAGGTATTATTTAAAGGTATTTGAAAGACCTAGTTAGATTTGGCATCTTTTAATTATAAGCTTTACATTGAGCTGCACTAATACCACAATTAACTTGGGCTGTTACTAATGAATTTTTGAAATACATTTTCATGCAAGTTGTTACTACCCAATCGCTGGAGGCAAAGGAGTGCTGAGGAACCATACAAGCAGTTGCAATAACATCTGGGGGCTGATTGCCTCTTAGGGCTTTGCCTTGCTAATTGCCCAGTTTTCATCAGCTTCAGTGATCTATTAGAGATTCAGAGTCAGAAAATATGAAAACAAGCAAGGAGCTTTGCTTTGTTGTTCATTTTCAGCAAGTGCCAAGGCAATGGTATCTTTGGGCTGCTGCAGATAGAGTCTGGTTCCTGGCTTAGTTGAACTTCATGACTTGAATGAGTTGTTTCTGCCAAGACAGTCCAAAATATTCATTAGTTTTTAGCTACATCAAAGTTTGGAGGCAGGATGTTTAACTTCTTTGCGGCAGCATTTAGATGTATTACATCGCCTCTGCCAGCTTTAGTACTTTGCAGTCGTGAGTCAGACCTTCCAAAGTAATGAGATTAAAAGCAGTGACTTTTTTCTCTTTGCCAGGTGTTTTGTGAGACACCTGGTGACACCCCTGAGAGATTTTTAGCTTTTCTTTGTAATCACAAATTTACACTATTAAAAATTATGAAAGCTTATACTCTTACTTGATTTTATCATTCTGGGACTGGGAGTTTTGAGAAACTCTAAATGGGTAAAATCATGAGAGGTGCCAGGGCTGTGGTAGGACAGTAGAACCCTCCCTAAATTCTGCATGCAAGCCTGCAGGAGGCCTGGCACAACTCTCCCAGTGATACCAAGGGATCAAAGTTTGTCAAGGGATCAAGGCCTTCTGACCCAAGAACCCTGGAAGACACAAGCCAGGAGTAACTGACAAGTAAATGACACTAAGGAGATCCACACAAGGAGCACGGTCCCGTTGGAGGGGTTGTGTGGGATCCCAGCCACTTGCCCATATCCTCTATCTTGGCTAGCTGTGTATGCATGGGAATTTTGGGGAAAAACTGCCTACTTCTCAATTTAGTGAATCCCTGGCAAAAAAACTTGATTACTTGGCTCATGTGCAGCTGTACTGTGGAGACAGCTCGTCTTCACATGCTTCTGAGTTACGTGCCATGAGAACTCTTACTCTTGTAGGAATGGTCATGATCTGACCTAACCTTTGTCTGTGAGCATGCTGCAGTGTTTATCTGCCCTTTAAAAAGATAAAAGAAAGTAAATATTTGGTTTTCCTCTCTGGTAGTGAGCATAGGGATTTACTTGTTCTTAATAGAGAACTGTGCAACGTTAGAAAACAAGTGTCTACAGGACAGAGCTCCTGATGGCATTCAGAGCTGGTTTTCAACCGCTTGTCAAAATGTCTGCAGTCTGAGCTACAAGGGCACAAGAGTAATCCTAAAATTAGCAATAATAGTTTGCAGTTGCACATTCTGACCCCCTCAAGATTTTATAGCTGCCTCCAATAAGGAATTAAAAACATGGGGGGGGTCGTTAACAATGGCCAAATAGGAAAATGACTGGAGAAAATGTCAAGGGAGAAACTATTCTTGTATTTCACAGAAATACAGTAGAAAGTTGTTATTTTTCTGAATTTCCATGTTTGCATCACATTTGAAATTGATGTTTCCTAATACAATTTAAATAAGTTGTGAATGTACCTCCCTAATTTAAAAAAAAACTGATTATTTTATCTCAAGGAAGAGCTGTGCATCATCTGAACAACACATTTCAGGAGCTGCTTGTGTTCTGCTGAAAAGTCATTAGGATGAGGAATGGCTTTTGTTAGAAATGCAGCAGTGTAATTATATGTGAGAACTCTGCTACAGCCTTTGGTGATAAACTACAGTCCATATCCACTCCTTAAAGATCTGCACAATCTTACCTTATGAGTTACTTAGCCTGACTCACTGCTGCATCTTTTCTCTGTAGTCTACTGCTGTGTAGTGTGCTCCCACCCAGTGGGAAATCTGAAGGCAGTGGCCAAACGAGCATGTGTGCGATAAAACCGTTTCCTTTCAGTATTTGTATTACAGTCTCACTTCCTTTTTTTTGACGTATACCAGTGAAAAGCATCAGCTTTGCATGCAGAACTCAAATGTTCTCTTTTCCATCAGTCAAGCTAAGACTTGGGTGATGTGTATTAAAAAACAAAACGCCAACAATTGAGTATGTGGTAGTTTAGGCGTTTTGGTTAAGATGTACACATGCTCTTTGGTCCGTCTAGGCGTGCAGAGTCCACAGGTTGTGTTCTGGAATTGGGGGAAGTTGAGAAATGAGCATTTAGAGCAAGATGTGCTGACTATACTATACACTATGTATTTGATTTCCCCACCCCGGGTGTGCTTTTGCTTCATATCAGCTCTCTCATTATGCACTATGTATAAGCTCTTCCTACGACTCTCCATAGTCACTCTGTGTGCTAACAGTCAGCTACTGTGTGGTGCTGCTTATGGAAGTGGGTTGGCTAGAGGGAAGGTTGTCAGGGAGAGGAGGCACAAACCACACTCAGCATGCAAAGAGGGCTTGAGAGGAAGAGGTAGGTCATTGTCTTCTCCTGCTTCTGTCCTGTCAGATGTGTTTGCTCAGATGCGCAAGAAATTGCTGGTTTGTTGTTTTGTTTTTAAAGCTGCTTGAGGGGTAGAACAATGAGAGCTTTACCAAGGAACTGAGAAGATCTGGACCTGCGCTGAGATCTGCAGTAGGTATCATATTTAGCATGTGCCCAGAGGACTTTTTGTGGTGAATTGTCTGTACTTCTTACTGAACCCAGTTAGGAATCCTTGGAGAAGATAATCTGATTTCAGAAGGCTAAAGAAATTTAGAGGGAAAACGGGAGAACTGGGCAAAACAAAGGGAGACCTATCAGGCCAAAGGAAAACAGCTTTTTCCCAAAAACTTAGGTATCTTCCAATCATGTATGCTTACAATCTGTCCTAAGCACAAATACAGTATTTAGGGCCAGGTTGGATGGGGCTTTGAGCAATGTAGTCTAATGGAAGGTGTCCCTGCCCATGGCACGGGGCTTGGAACTAGATGATCTTGTAGGTCCCTTCCAACCCAAACCATTCTGTGATTCTGTGATCTTTGTGTAAAATCAGAAAGCCCACATCAGATCTGCTACAGGTAACTTTATTTTTTATGTTATAAGTCACATGGATTGTTTTGAAAGTGGCTGGCAAAGTTATCTCTGTTCTTATACCTCAGTCCAACTCAGTTCCTGGCCACCAAGGCTGGTAAGAAGAATAGGACCTAACTTTTGCTGAAGTATTGAGGATCCCAGAAATGTTCTTTATTGGATTATTTTTAGGTATGTCAAGCTGTCTTAAATGAACTAGCGTTCTGTATTCCCAGATGCACTTGGTGTAAGTCAGGGCTTTTCTGAGCTTAAATTAGCAAAATTTGTGTTGTTCAAGTTTTACTGAAAATTAGCTGTAGCAAATGACATTCGTGTAACTGTTTTTTTTTTTCTTGGAAAAAAAAAAAAAAAGATAATAATTAGCCATTTCTCCTTGTGTAGTTGATTTGTTCCTCTAGAGTGCAAGCCAACCCTCCCTGATGCTGGTTATTTTGCTAGAATGGCAAATGCTCATCTATGGTGCTCGTCAAATGAAAACCTTGGGACAAACTGGGATACTATGTTCGGGTGAGGGACACTCTGTTCCTCTCTGTCCCCACACCTAATTTAAAGAATCCAGGCAATTGGTAAGCTGGTGAGAACGGACATTTTAACAATGCGGATTCCACTTATGACTACAATAATTTATGTCTAAGTGTGCCATGGTGATCTAAGCTAGACGAGGGTTTTAGGTATACCTCAGAACCTTCTTTTGCAGGTGAAACAGGGAAGCTGAGGTGCAAGTCTTCCTCTTGTACTGGCAGCCCCCAGGCATGTGGCACAAAAGTAGCTGGAGAGGGTGAGTAGGTTTGAGATTGCTGAGGAGAAGACCTAGAGGAGGCTGAAGTCAAGTTTAACTGCTCTGGGATTCCAGGTGGCAGCCATTTGGTTGCTACTGAGGAGAGTATCAGGTAGGACCAGTTGAGATTATCTTTCAGCTCCCCATGGATTTGCATGTGTATTTGCCTTTTCTGTGGCAGTTCAGGTAAAGGAAAACCCTTTGTTTATGTGGGAGTTTTGACATATGAGTGAGGAACCTTACAAGTGCACTGTTTCCAAAAGACTGCTTTGCAGATTTGAGCTAAATCTTCAGCCTTTTGCAAATCAGCTAAATGTATTTGCCTATTTATTTCTGCCTTTCCTAGCAGAAATAGGGAAGGGATTTTTTCACCAGACAAGAACCCAAGTCACAGATTCGAAGACTTGCAGCTGAATTTTGTCATTGACTCATCACATGCCTATTGGTAAGCCATCTGCAAATAGGATAATTGTCTGTAATTTAGGGTGTCTCATCTAAAGACCTCAATTTCCATTGCTAAAAAATGAGACTAATGCATACAACACAAGAATATTGTGTAGAATAACTCACTGTATCCAACTATTGAAGAGCTTTTTGCAGGTGTAGAGTGCTTGTATATATGGGTAATCAGCATTATTTAACTGTACTTCCAGCCATTAAAACCCCACTGGCCCAAATGAAATCAAATCAAGCTTTTATTCTAACCTGTACATGGAGAATAATTTTTCCAGCCATAACTGTGTGTAACTTGTTATTTGCTCTCACCTGATCTACTTGTTAGCTCTTGACAGAGAATTGAGTTCTATCTCACCTGTCCCAGTAGCGCAGGTGTTCCTAGACTTGATTCTGAAAACCTTTGCACACATTAAATTTAACACATTAAATCCCCATTTTGTTTAACAGCAGTTGTCCCATTTCAAGCAGTTGAGGGGTGAGAGGCCTACTCAGTAAGTAGGGGGGCACATTCAGCAGGAAGCTTTTTGAACAGGTAAGAAAGAAACATGATTGATTGCTCAGCTGTTGAAGGTATCACAAAGCCAAAGCAAGTCTTTCTCCAAAGAAGGTACCTGCTTTGTCACTTCAGATATACCCCAAAATGGCACATGCTTCATCTCTGCATGCACCAAGACACAACAAACTAGGATAACACGGATTTTCTTCCTTCTTGGTTTCACAGGCTGGAGACAAGTTTGTTATTCAAGGACTCAGCACAAGTGTCAGATACTGATCATTACCTGTAAATTCATTGGGATGTTTATTGTCATGTTTTATAAAAGTGATTTCCTTTATGAGGCAATTACATGCCTTACTACTTCTAGTGCATCTTGCTGCTACCTTCAAATGTGCAATTGTAGAGGACATTTCCACAAAACCCTTTTCAGTTCCCAAATTTTTAAATATTCAGTATACCCCAGCGTGAATGTCATTTGGCTTTAGAGTCTATAGTTCTACTGTGTTGAATTTTAAATCTCATTTTCTAGAAATAGTCAATTTCTTATAGGAATATGTGATTAATGATACTTCTGGTGGAATCCAGATACTTGGTTCAGCAAGGGGTCACAGTGGGAACACATTATCTTGGAAGCAGTTTTTGGAGTTTTCCTCCTCCTTGCACATACTTAGTTTTTTTCAGAGTTCATTATGCTGTGTTGAAATCCTGTCTCCACAAGCTCAATTCCTACTCCAGGTGGATGGTGTATGTCTCATACTCTTTCAAGTATTGTGGCTGAACTTGCCTTCTAAGCAAGATTGCAGAGGCTTGACCTAGAGCTTTTTGAAATCAACCTTTCTATTTACTCCTGTTGGGCTTTATTCTGGGTGATCAGCATACTCCAGTCAGTTGCAGAAGCAGCACAGCCCTTTCACCAACTTTCCCTGCCCAAAGCCCAGCATAGAGCAGGTTGTCATAGTTTGTTTCATCTTTCTGCCAGGTTTGTTTTCAGTTGAGCCTGAGTGTCTGCTGTCTGATGTTTCTGCCATGGGATGTGTGTTATAGAGTAAACAAGGTTTGTTTTCATTTCTCCAAGATAAATTACCTGCTTGAAAGAGCTAATTGTGCTTAGTCAGTCTACAAGACACCAGTTAGTGTGTCTCATTTCAGAGCTGGAGGCATGTGTCTGAGCCCCTTACTCTGCCCTCATGTCAGAGGCTATCCCCAGTGGGAGCTGCTGGAGGTGGGTACCTGCTCTGTCAGGACCAGCAAAGCAAAGGAACAGGACATGGTACTAACCCCATCCAAGTGAGCTCTTGTGCTCCAGGATACAAAAAGGAGCATGTTTACTACACTGTCTGAATTGGGAGTGGGCAAGGAAAATAAAATGGATTCAGTCAGATGTGCCTGAAGCTAAATATATAATTTACTTAGCAGTGTGAAGTTTGTGTTAATGTGGAAGCAGGAATGGTGCTCTTGTGTTGGAGAATGAGAGAGAGAAAAGAAAGAAAGCTACAGTTACTGGACAACATAAAGTTAAAAAACTGTATGTTCAGATCTGATGCTTGTTAAATTTCTTAGTTGTTCTGAATGACAATGAATTGAAAGCTAGAACTCCCTGAACCTGCATCTCCTTCTGTTGTAGATAGTCCTTCTACATGTACGTGTAAACCCAACAAAAGAACTTCTGTGTCCACAGATGAAAACATACCTGTGGAAATCCTCTCATTTATTCCTGCTTACCTTGTCCACCTTGAACTTGGCCATGCTGTAATTACATGTCATGCCCGACAATAGCTGTATTATATCACCCTGATTAAAAAATGGACTGCTTTATCAAGCTACTGCCTATCATGATGTCAGTCTGCACAATGCTGTTGATTTGGCAGACTTTTAAGCAAAAGAATTATAACTTCTTTCCTCTGGAGCTCTTTATTAAATCCAGATTGATGTTTCATCCGAAATGTCAAGGAATCTGCCAGCAGCTTAGCAATTAATGAGAATAATGACCTGCTGTAAAACAAAAAACAGTGAATTAAAAGTACAGGTCATGTCTGTGTTTGCCAACAAGATAGATATAACCTTTTGTTTTCAGCTGGTTTAATTCTCATCTTTAGCAAAAATGACATAGATACTAGGGAGAGTCTGTTAATTGCAATTAAACTCAGGTTCCTATTTGAGTGCTCAAAGATTATGGCTCGCAGAGACAGCTTATACTAGGTCTGCTGCAGCAATCCTGGCCCCAAGTTTTTCACTCTGTTTTTCTTCAAAGATTTCTGCTCCTGCTGCTGGGATTCCTCAGCTAATCATAAAACAGTTGCAGATCTGCTTAAATCATAGTTGGATGCATTAGGAAAGACAAAAGTTGATAACAGTTTATGTTAATATACCAGAGTGATACAGCATCTGCTTTACCAGGAACTGAGCTGGTCCTGTAAAGAGGGAGGGAGTCATCTAAAATGGACAGATTGTTGGGACTGAAAATTCTTCTAAGCTTTCCTAAGCTCATCTAGATCTAATATACTAATGAGTCAGAGCTTTAAATCCCATTGAATTAAACAGAACAACTTTGAAAGAGGTTTGTACTTGAGTAATTTTAAGGATCCAGCCCTTAAATTCTTAAATTATTTTTGATGGTACGACTTAGACTTTGCAATGTTGTACCTAAAATACTGTAATTCCATTTAAAAATTTATACAATTTGGACACTGTAAAAAATATTCTTGATCAAAAAAACCCCTCTGTGCGTACTCCCAGTGAGTGTTCTGTTTCTGGTTCACATTTCTAATTAAGAGGGTTTTATTTTAAAGGTTAAATGCTTTACATTTTTGGACAAACATGGAAGTGAAACGGTGTTACATTTTACTGCAAATTTTAACAGCACTTCTACTTTCCTTTTGTGTTGACACAGGGCATTTTGATGAGATTTTATCTGCATAGAAGGTAGGAAGCATCCCTATTACAGTACAAGGGAAGATGCGGGAAAGCATAATTGAAGTCAGAGGCAAAACTGTTTGCTTACTTTAGTGAAGTCAGTTTACCTAGTGTGTTTAAAAGTATATTAGCTCTTTGTAAAAAAATCTTGTTCTTTCACTTGGAATGAAACACCAGAATCACCAGAGCAAGAAGTCACTCTACCAGCATAAGCCTCTAAACACCACTGTAGACATTATTGCTTGAACAATGTGGTTTTATTTGCTTGGATTATTCAACATGTGCAGATATATTGGTTGTTTCTCATCTGTGTATTAATATCAAAGCCAAAACTAATCTTTGTCAGCACCTGAGCAGGAGAATCTTAGAGGTCCCAGCCACTTGGATAAAAATCCCATCTTCTTGCTTGGCCTCCAGGGGCACTTCAAAAGGTCTTTTTCACTTGCTTTTAAAATGCCAGGCCTTTCCCGACTCTCTGTGTTGTCTTCTCAGAGCTACCAAACCGGTGGCATTGTCAGCATAGTCATCAGCTCCCAGCCCTGCCCTCCCCATCCCTGTTGGTTGCATGGCCCTTCTCATGCAGTGCAGAGGATGCAGGCTGTGTCTCTCCTAACACATGGTCGATTCCTTGGTCAGTGACTTCATACTATTTCAGAAAGATGTACCATCATTTCTCAAACAAGTGTTATTTTCTAGGGATTAAATGACCAACAGCTCTTTGGCTATCACACTGCCCCTATTTAGCCAGGGTGCTATCCCCACTGTGAGATTTGTGGTGGTTTGTGAGCTTCTCCTGATTTCAGATGAGTGCTTTTCCATGCTGTTTATGTCTGTTCAAAGGTTGTATGTTTTGTGCTCTGAGACATTTCCTGACCACTCAGTTGAAATTTCTGATTAATTAGATACCATCAGGTTGAAATGTAGTTAATTACAAAACCAGGAATAATTGCTTTAAGGATGATGCTTGCATATATATTTTTTTCCTGTTTTCCTCCCTACTTCTACTGTTGAAAAACAACCTGTCCTTTGTTGTGCCATGGAAAGACCCTATGCAAAAGAGGTGACACAGCCAGAACTCAGTTGTGCACTAAATATTGTTGAATGAAATGTGAGAAAATTAGGAAAAGGAAATGTTTTTTTCAGCACCTCTTTGAAATCTAGTAAAGGGGCCTCAGCCTGGTAAAGTTCAAACTTGGCCATTTACCTTAAATGTAGAACATTGAAAAGCAGGTACTTCTAGCAAGAAATGTCTGTAGTTTCTCTTTATGTAGTGTAAACCTGGCTCTCCTGAATAGGCAGTATTTTGGAGATGTCCAAGGTAGTAATATATACCTCTTTTGTACCTTATTGCATGGAGCTTCACATCCAATTGAGTTTACCTGGTATGTGGTATTTAAGTGATAGTTTCATTTATCAGCTTGTATTTTTTAATGTACATGAACATGAGAAAAGGCATACCAAAAGAAAAATCTGCATTTGGATTGAAGTGATACCTTAACGTGAAAGACTAAGGCATATCAGCAGCATTTGTATTCTGTATACTTACATATGCTAAATAATTTTGTTTTCAGAGTGGATAGACTATGACTTTCTGACTCTGAAATAATTACAGCCTCAGCTATAGCCGCAGTGTTAGTCACAGTGATTTAGTGCTGCCGATAATGTAGGGAACATACAGACTATTAATATGATGTGAGGCAGCAATGGTGAAGATAAATCTGTGGCTGTACTGAATATTCACCTTTCCAGACAACACTACGCATCTCTGTCAGTACTTGAACCCATCCACCTGTGTAAATCTGGGAAACACTATTAAAACCAGATTGTAACGCTAAGTAGTTCCGTGGCTTCACTGAGGGCAAATCCTGCCTGACCAATTTGGTGGCCTTCTATGATGGGGCTACAGAACTGATAGATAGGGGCAAAGCAGCTGAAATTATCTAGCTGGACTTGTGCAAAGCTTTCAACACTATCCCACACGACATCCTTGTCTGTAATGGAGGGACGTAAATTTGATGGATGGACCACTTGGTGGATAAAGAACTGGCTAGATGGCCACACGCAGTGTTGCAATCAATGGCTCAGTGTCCAGCAGGAGGTGGGTAACAAGGGGTCTCCCTCAGGAATCGGTGTTGGGGCTGGTCTTGTTCAACATTTTTGTCGCTGACATGGACAGTGGGACTGAGTGCGCCCTCAGCAAGTTTGCCGATGACACCAAGCTGTGTGGTTTGGTTGATACGCTGGAGGGAAGGAATGCCATCCAGAGGGACCTTGACACACTTGTGAGGTGGGCTGATGCCAACTTCATGAAGTTTAACCATGACAAGTGCAAGGTCCTACACCTGGGTCAGAGCAATCCCAGGCACAGCTACAGGTTGGGCAGAGAAGAGATTCAGAGCAGCCCTGCGGAGAAGGACTTGTGGGTGTTGGTTGATGAGAAAATGAACATGAGCTGGCTTCAGTGTGCGCTCACAGCCCAGAAAGCCAACTTTGTCCTGGGCTGCATCAAAAGGAGCGTGGCCAGCAGGTCAAAGGATGTGATCCTTCCCCTCTACTCTGCTCTTGTGAGACCTCACCTGGAGTATTGTGTGCAGTTCTGGTGTCCTCAACATAAAAAGGACATAGAACTGTTGGAACAAGTCCAGAGAAGGGCCACGAGGATGATCAGGGGACTGGAGCACCTCCCGTATGAAGACAGGCTGAGGAAGTTGGGGCTGTTCAGCCTGGAGAAGAGAAGGCTGCGTGGAGACCTCATAGCAGCCTTCCACAGTATCTGAAGGGGGCCTATGGGGATACCAGAAAGGGACTCTTCATCAGTGAGTGTAGTGATAGGAGAAGGGGTAATGGGTTTAAACTTACACAGGGGAAGTTCAGGTTAGATATAATGAAGGAGTTCTTTACTGTGCAGGTGGTGAGGCACTGGAATGGGTTGTCCAAAGAAGTGGTAAATGCTCCATCCCTGGCAGTGTTCAAGGCCAGGTTGGAGAGAGCTTTGGGCAACATGGTTTAGTGTGAGGTGTCCCTGCCCATGGCAGGGAAGTTGGAAGTAGATGATCTTAAGGTCCTTTCCAGCCCAAACCATTCTATGATTCTACAATTCATTTGGAAACCTTTGTGATTGACTTATTTGTACGTGATGATGAGTCTAAGCAACAAGTATTGTAGTCACCACTAAAAATGGTTATTAAATTACCTTTTTATTAAAAATAAATATATTTCCAAATTAAGAGAAAAATGTTTAAAGTTTACAGAACTTGCTCAGAAGCCACTCTGCACTGTCCAAGTGTACCTTTAAAAGACGAAGATTGTTGCTCCCCCTATTAGACAAGGCAGTGAAAACAGCCAGCCCCATCCTTGCTGTGCACTTTGTGTTCTCAGCTGCAGCTCAGGGTTACCAAACCTGCTAGTTCCTCATTCAGCAGAGACCTGAGCTAGCTTTGGCTGTAGGATATTTGCTGCCCCAGAGGAACCTGAACACTGGCACGCTTCACTGCCTGGGGTACACCATCGAGCATATCCTCTATGGGATTTTACTGTCTGCAGAAACTAGCTAACTACTAAAATAGTGCCTGATCATATACAGCAAGTCTTTTTTTTTGTCTAACTAAACAGAATGTATATTTTTAGCCTTTCTGCCAGTGTTTTTTTTTAGCATTTTTCTCATTCAAGTGAGTAGCACTTTATTGAATCTTTCAGTAGATTGTAGCTTGTACCCAGAGAGGTGATGATGTTACGTCTTTAGTGAATTACATGGTAGCAATTGAATTTATCAGAGTATAGTGCCAGGACAGCATGTTTCACTGCATTATTTTTCATAATGAAGGAAGAGAAGAATACCTGTAGGTGGCAATAGTACTGAAGCTGTAGCTGCACACCATTGTTGGCCTTTTTAACTAGCAGGTTACTATCAAGTTAACTTTAAAGTTAGCTTTCTGTAGTTCCAATTCTTGATTGATGCTGAAGGCCAGGACAGCGTGGTCTCTAATGTCTGAATGCAAATCTAAATGCCAGATTCCCCGCACTACCACAGCTTGGCTTAGGCAAATTTACAGATGGCTTTAGGAATTTTGTTTCAGTATTTAGTTGAACAAGCAAAGAACTTAAATAAACTTATATTTTCATCTGTTATTTGAAATAGTCCAACCAGGCCAGGTTGGATGGGGCTTTGAGCAACCTGGTCTAGTGGAAGGTGTCCCTGCCCATGGCAGGAGGCTTGGAACTAGATGATCTTTAAGGTCCCTTTCAACCTAAACCATTCTATGATTCTATGATTTATCTATCTATATGTTTATTCATTATCAAGCAGTGAGGGTCTGACATGGATTTTTAATGATATCATTGACTTAAGTGTGACATTTTAATCATTGTCATTATTGTAATGGACAGTACAATAATATACTCACAAATTAGAGAATTCTATCAATGAACTGGAAAGATAAAAGGCTGTGTGTGCCCAAAACAGAAAAATCAACACGGTCCATGGATGAAGCCCAAGTTCTAGCCTGCAGCTGCTCTTTCAAGTTGAACTCACCGTGCCGATGGGTAACAGCAATACCCGTGGAGTGTAACAGTACTGGTACAGCTCTGAGGGCAGCCAAGACAGAAGGTGAGCTGTGAGCATGAGCAGCAGCCTGAGGGACCCTGTCAGTGTTAGCTGGTGATGGGCTGGTGCGATCTGGGTTTCAGCTACACTCAGGACAGGCCTCAGCCGTCTTATACCTGGGCTGCTGTAACCCAGGAGGGATTGTATTGCTGTAACAACAGTGAGGGAGGTGCGCTGGCCCCAGGTCTGCTGGA